CTTTTTTATTTATTCTATTTTTAATCTATGCGTGATCGATAAGTGTCCCTCTATGATTCAAACAAATGGATATTTCATTGACGAACACTTTCCTACATCTTGTTCTAAATTGAAAAATTGCGCCAATTTAAAGGTCGTCGGCCTTGACGTCACACCACGCGACACCGACCAATGGCGTCGCGCCGCGCCCTCGCCTCATCCAATAGGAACGCGAAATTGTTTATCGATTCATCTCATCTGTGCGTTGCTAATAATTGACAGCCATGCGGTCCAGAGGAGAGCAACAGAATTGTACCTATAGCGAATGATTCGCAATTGTTTTACCTATATTGTTTTATTCATAGGAAATTCGATCATATCTATGCTAAACATGCAAATTATGCGTTTGTTTTGGCGGCGGCATACCCCTTCCCTTCTGCTCGGAAGATCATTATGCTGAAATTGTAACATGAACTTTGGAATTCGTAATTGGAGCCAGAAATGGCGGGAAGTTAGTCATAATCTACGTGGGTGGCTAGTCTAGGCTGAGCGAAGTTTCTAGTCTAACTGTAGTAGGTACCTAGGTCACCTAGGTACTGGACGAACCACATTCTTGCGCGTGCTTTCCTGTGCAGGGCCAAAGCGTTAGCCCAGCGGGACTTAGGCATTCCTTTTACGAACTTAAATATTGTATACCGGACCTCTTTGTCATTGATAGAAATTATAAACCTTATTTTAACTAGTTATAAGGTTGTTTTTTGCAAAACCAAATCAAAATTTTCAGACTGCTTTGATAGTCTTGATACCTTAGTTCCTTTTTCGAACTTTAAAATGGTGGAATGAACCTGCCATTGATAGAAACCTTATTATCATCTGATATAAGGTTGCTTTTTGTACATCAGGTTATAGATTTATAGAATGCCTTTGATATTAGAGTTCCATAACAACAGGTTTAAAATATTAAAATATAGATCGCCATCTTGCAATGCTAGAACAATGCGTGAAATGTTTGGTAAATTATCTCTTTGATTATAAATTATATGCTAAAAGCTGTTGTTAGCGTTAATGGTGCAAATGCATGATTAAGTCATGGTACCGGCTTCTGAACTTGGTTGCATATTTTATCGTAAATAGTAGGTCTTGACTAGATTAAAATTTAACTTAAATCTGGGGTCAAGACTCAGTGCCGATCACTGAGTCTTAACCTTCATGGTTAAAACCTCAAAAGAAGTTAACGCATTTGTAAGACCTCTGTCGTTTCGGATGGGCGGCGACGATTGGTTACTATCAGGTGATCCGTCTGCTCGTTCACCGGCTTATTCCAGAAAAAAAGTAATGAGGCCATAACGATAGCATTCATTACATTGCAACAAATAACAAGCTAAAGAAACAGCTATTATGAGATGTTTTTCAAACATTTTTGTATCTACATTTTAATTCAAGGCTTTTAGCTCATGGTTTAAAGATAAAGGTAGGTCTTAACCTACTTATATTAACATATTTATGCAGTCTCCCAACCAAAGGTGACTTTGTATGTACCTAGACAAATGTATTACCTACGTACCTACATATTATAATGCACCTCTTATCTCTGAAATCCTGAGAGCAGACAATGAGATTATATCTCTTAGTCTACTCACTATACCTAACTAGATAGATATAACGCTGTAAAGACGACTTTGAACCTAATTATTCTAGGTTTAAGTAGCTATTTTAAATAGATATCAAGTTGTGAATCATTCATGAGATATTCATATTCGTTTGAAATAAGTTAACGTAGATAGCCACAAAAACGATTATACAGTAGGAAACTGTTAAGTACTGTAATACCAATCGATATTTGTATGATCTCCGGTGGTCGAGGAAACACCACGGGTACTGCCGAGCAAGTGATCTTAGTTAGAGCAAAGACATGGGTGGAAGATAGTTATTAAATAAATAGAGGGGTGTCTTCAAGGCCCGAGTGAATAGGTTGCTTATGGGACGACGTGCTCCTTCGTAGACCGCATCATCGGTTACCATCAGCCGAGATAGTAGTCTCATCATCAAATATAGTATATATAAAAAAAAATGAGAAACTTCACAATAACCTTCTAATTGTTTTTATAATAACTATCGTGAGACATACTAAATTAAGTAAAGTGAGCTGCGCGACGTCGCCGCGACTGCGCACGCTGCTCATGAGGAAGAACCCCTCTGTGGTTCGAAACTTCGAGCTTGTCTCAGTATATTCACGTGAGTAAACCGCGTTTTTACTTAACCTTCTAATTCATCATAATCAGGATGTTTTCAAAATGGCCATTGTTTTGTGTAGATACTGGGAAACAGATAATAGACATCCCTCATGTATAATAACATGGGTGACTTATTTCTTCCGCATATTTTAGAACAATAACGGCCCTATTTCATTGATACACCACCGCTGTGTAACCGCACCATGGTGATTTTAGAGTTCCCAGAATAAAACAGTAACCGGTAACCGTCCACTGATGGAAGATGGACCACTTCTAAATAAGACGGTTTGGTATATATACACGCTTGGCCAGCGAGATGGATGTCGCCGTTTAAATGGTTCAGGTTTATCAGAAAGCACTGTAGCCCCGTTTCTGTCAAACTTGTAGTAACCTCGCATTTTACTAACCTCGCGGAATGAAGAAGGGCAGGGCCGTCTTAGACTACGCCGTTTGGAATGTTTTTTTTAATCTTTTCCCACACTAGGCTTTTCTCCTGTGTCCTACGCGTGTTTACAAACATACAAATTCATATTTACATGCCACCCAGACCCAAAACAATAATTTGTGTAGGTATCATACAAGATTTGCTCCGTGCGGAAATCGAACCGAACGTGTAGCGGGTGTGTGTCAGTCGTAGAAATTGTCGATCCCCCTGAGGATAAGGGCCATGGGCCCCGAATGCCCTTAAGGTAAAGACGATTCTGAAGAAGGGTGCTGTGAGATACCTATATTTATCTCTGCTATCACCAAACGGAATAACACTGAAGTCCAGTTTCCTAGAAGTAAAGTACGAACACTGCTAAGCAATTAATCAACACTTTTATGCACTCACAGATCAAAGGAAACAAATCTCTATTCCCTAAACAAAAAGGATTCAATTCATATAAACTAATTACAAATGGATCACTACCGCCATATATGGACAGCGATTTCCGATCGATAGCCGCGCGCGCATCGCATAACATCCATACTAATGCGAATCCATAAATAAAATGCAAAGGAAAATAGTCTCTATATTAATTTGTTGTTAATCACATATTTCTACAGCACGTTTCTTTTGGTGCAAAAGGTGTGTTTTTCATTTCATTAATTGGTTTAAGAGGGCATTAAACCTATCAACTGAGGTAGTCTCTGTTTTATTCTTAAGTGACAGGTGCTTATTGTTAAGAAAAATATCGTACCTTCTGTCGGCCTTTTCGAAAATTCTATAAGGTGCACAATATATCTCCATCATCATAAGCCGGAATACACATAGAGGTATGTACATACTCTTAAACAAAGCCTCCCTTTAAATAGGAGTTTGTCAAATCCCCAAGGTTTTTTTTGAGGGGGTACTATCATCCAATGACTTCCTTCAACCGGGTGAGGCGAGAGGGAGTGTCAGACTCTTACTGACTAAAAACCACCCTGTTCCTACTCCTGCACTTCGAACCGGAGCCCCGGCAAACAGTTAGGCCCTCCGCGGCTAAATCCGTAAAAACACCGAAAACATATCTATCTGAATAAAATTTTTATCAATGATCGTAACATACATCACATTAGCTGTTTTGTGTTCACACCACAGCAACAGCAACTGTAAATACTGTCTTATTATGACGGTTCAAACTCCAGAATAACTTGGCATTAACAACGACTACTAATATAAATACCGTCAGTACATAAATCAAAACCCACTTCATACACTTATATACAGTTCCTCGATGCGTTACATGGTGCCAAAGTATACATGTCATCTTGAGTCCGGTGTCCAGTTGCGTCCACGGTTGGAGATAGGCGGACAGTCTTCTCCAGTATACCCTTCTCTTATTCCTCGACACATTCAAGACGAGCAGAAATGATGGCATATATTTTACTTTTAACACTTAGGGTATTCAGAACTTGGAAGCCAAAGACCACCACTGTCATAGGCTTAACAAGCCAAGGATACACTAGGGGACAAAATGTCACAAGGCATGTATCGGCGACATGCCTTGTCGATTTCCCACGACTGACGACAGCGCTCGCCTTATGTCCACAGCGACGTTGATGTTGCCAGACATATCGGCCAAATTCCGGCAACGTCGCGCTACTTCACCCGACGTCGCTGGCGACACGTGTTGCAGGACGGTTGTGCCCTAGTGTATCCTTTTTTTTATACTCTTTGGACTTTGAACCTAAGAACTCCAAATACTACATAAAAACTTTTTCGTCTTTTTGGTCATTGTCAAAATCTTTGACATCATTTGTCGTGAGCCAAAGAGTAAAGCGTGAGCCCGCGAGATATGGTATTTCTTTCTCCATTCTGATGATTCTGCGACTTTAATCTGATATTGTGTGCTCTTTAGCCATTAAAACAAATTAATTATAAGCATTCTATTATTAGTCTAGTAAAGTGCGGTACGGTAGGATAAGTAAATAATCAGCTAACAAAATATGGCCGCCACTTTGGAATTTGATTGGATAGGAAAACGATACAAATTGGTGGACACTGTGAATTTCGATGAGTTCATGAAGGCTTTGGGTAAGAGATAAATCCTTTGTATGTCCCCCTTCAGAAACAACTACTTCACAGATAAGATTCTTCTGGAAATTCTTCATGACAACAATTTAATTATAATTACGATCTTATTTAATTAGGTTTTACAAATCTTATTTAATTGTTGTCCCAAATGTCTGTCTTATATTTTCTTCTTCATCCCATTGCCTTTCACTATAGACTATAGGTCCAGTCAATACCATTCATCTTGATCTTCAGTTCTTTGACTGTCACTGTTATAAATTCTAACCCAACTTCTCTTCAATCCTCAGGCGTTGGTCTCATCACCCGCAAGGCCGCTAACGCTGTCACCCCGACAGTGGAGCTCCGCAAGGAGGGAGACGTCTACAACCTAGTCACGTCATCCACCTTCAAGACTACTGAAGTCAAGTTCAAGCCTGGTGAGGAGTTCGACGAGGACAGAGCTGATGGTGCCAAGGTAAATGGGTAGAAAGTGGTCTTGGCTTACGGTGGTTGTTACAAGTTGTGGAAGATTAAAAGATGGAGACTTAGATTTTAGATTTGGTTTTGACAATCACTATGGCTTTCTTTTCGAATTCTGATCAAAGAAAATAAACTTTCAAAGGCTAGTCTTTCTGTGGAAATCTTCATTAATAAGGCTTGTTTTTTCTTCCACATCAATTTCTGTCAAATTACTATTTAAAAAGATATTTGATTTGTATAAATGAATCTATTGCACAGGTTATATGGTGAATATGGTGATGCGTCTTATTCTTCCTAATTTTAACGTATTTCCTGAATCAATTCGTTTCTAAGATCGTCGGACTGATGGTTACAGGTGAAGTCAGTGTGCACCTTCGAGGGTAACACCTTGAAGCAGATCCAGAAGGCTGCCGACGGTATGGAAGTCAGCTACATCAGAGAATTCGGACCCGAAGAGATGAAGGCTGTAAGTATAACGGAGATAGGTCTGTTAGACAGTTAAAACGTTCTGACCTAGTACCTCAATAATCAATATCAGGTCTGGCAATGTAGTCTCTTGATTAAGGTCTTTAAGGTCTAGCATTGTACCTAAAGATCGATAAAGATAAAGATCTTTAATAACTTACAGAACATATTATATATTTGTGAAAACTTAAGGGCTTGTACACAAAACTGCGATGTGACGTCGCATCGCAAGAACTTACAAATTCATTCGCATCGGGCATCAAAATTGTATCTTCCCAAAATCTTCTTTCATTCTTTTTCTTTATCTCCTAAGCAATAACAGAAGTGCACACTTCTTTTTACGATCCATGTCACGACCTAGTTTTCAAATTAAAATACGTTTAGCACGTTGACGTTCGTTGAAGGAATGGTTACCCTGGGAGATGCAAATCGCAATTCGCACCGTAATTTTTGCGTTGCGAATTCGCATTGCAGTTTTATATACGAGCCCTAAACTATTCTCGAAAAGGATATCTAGTTAGACAAGACCTTAGAAATCCCGAAATAAGGTCTAGTAGCGAACATTCTGCTGTTCATATGAGGCTCCGTTTTATTATTGAGATATATGAAAACTAGATACTCCAAAAATGATACTTTAGTATATTGCAGCACATACGACTGGTCTCATCATGAAAGTAATAAATCTCGTGACATTTTCCATTTTCAGAACAATGCATTCATATGTGCATAGATTTTGATGAATGAATGGTATGGCGGACGGACAGATATATTGGTTAATTCATTATTCGGTCATTCATCATTCACTCCATTTTTTTGTTAGGTTTTATTTGTACACGATGACTGACGAGGAAGAGACCTGGATGCATGAATATATGACCTCTGTGGTTATACGTTTTTGTGGTCACGTAGGTAAATGTGTATGCTTAGTACTGAGAATTTATGTGCAAACAATAGCTTGTCGGAACTGGGTTTTTCGAAGTTAGCAGCGTTAAATAACAATTGTAGTGATAAAGGCTTAGTCAATGACTATTAAACAAAAATAAAATATATAAAATGTTCACTGCTGAATATAATCCTCTCCCCTATGTCTATGTCACGAAGTTTCTGATCGGCCAATCGCCAGTCCTTTAACCTGAGGCCTTAGTACAAATTTCTTTTTCGTTTAAAGAAATCGTAACGAGTACGCGTTCGGCGCTGTGATTGGCCGGCTATAATGAACCAACTAATCAGATCACAGAACGCCGTCTCGTTTCGATTACTATAAACGAAAAAGAAACTCGTACTAAGGCCTCTGGTATGTCGGAGCGTAGATCTACGCGAGACAATGCGTTTTCTATTGTCTCTTATATCGACAGACAAGGGGTTAATAGGTATACTGGTATACATTATAGTTACTTAGTCTAAACTAGTTTTCCAACAGTCTAAACAGGTTTGGAAAAAATATTCTGAGTAGTAGTAGCACGGAGTCTGGAATTGTGTCCAGTATATGGCAATAGTCTCACCCTATTACATGGGACTCATAAAATAAAAAGTGAAAAGTGGGTGTTACATTGTACAGTGGTATTAAGTGCCTACCTCTTCAGGGATAAAAGGCGTGGTGTTATGTTATGTTAGTCCAAACTCCACACTTGATTATTATATCAGAAAATTCAATAAAACAATTTGAAATTACTTTTATTGGCCGTAAACCAATAGTTGAAACCTTGTTATCAAATAATTATGCAATAAAATATTACGGTACCTTACGGTATTCGACGCGGTGGTAGATAATAATTGATTTCACACAAACTTTACTATTTTGTTTCTTAAATTGTTTACTTATATCCATTACTCGGACGCGCGGTTGGTGCGGTGGCTGGGCAACCGGCTGCCGTGCAACGTGTCGCGGGTTCGATTCCTGCACGGAACAACACTTTGTGTGATCCATGTTGTTTCGGGTCTGGGTGTCATGTGTATGTGAACTTGTATGTTTGTAAATGCATCCACGACACATGTGGGGTGAGATAAACATAATGTGGGGCAACGTTTTAAAAATAAATTTAACTCGTCGAGTACCGGTTTTGTAGACACAATTATAGAACAATAGGTTGCGGTCACCGGTGACCGCTTGGTGTTTGACAGTTTAATATGGCATCGCTCAGAAATTAGCATTTTTTTAAAAGGGTGGCTATTCACTTCTAAGTTACATTTAAAGTGGATTGGCACTTATCCATAAAAATATTATACAGAATTAAAACCATTGGTAGGTAATTATGAAGGCCATGATACTGGCCAGATACCTGTCCTTGTGAATAAAAAGATCAGCTTTTATGTCTTATGTGACTACAATAAAATCAACATTAAAATGCATCGTGCAACTGTAAATGCAACACGGATTGCATCAAGTATGCCTAGCCTATTACAGAACAATAGCACAGTTAGTGGACCTATTAAACCTATTAATAATGTATTTAGCACCTATTTAATCATATAATAGACGGTGTAATAGACCCTAGTAAATACTTTTATTATCTTTTATTGATATGATTTACTATGAGTGTGGAACGTAATATAGAATCACGTTTGTACGACACTACTGGATGCAGAAAGCATGGCTCATAGAAATCTCTATTCCTAGACAGTTTTGCCGAAAACTTTGTTGGTAGAAAATACTATTCGTAGATATCTCGTTCCATAGAAAGCGCTGTTGATAGATAGTTCTGTTCATAGATAGCATTTTTCACATAAACATTGTCTATAGAAACAGCTTTTTTCCGGAAACTACTTACTAGTTTCGCGTCGTTTTCGAGTTTCGCGTTTAAAGCCAAGGGTACACTAGAGGACAAATGTCCTGCTACACGTGTCGCCAGCGACGTTGGGTGAAGTAGCGCAACGTTGCCGGACTTTGGTCGACATGTCTGGCAACATTAACGTCGCTGTGGATATATGGCGCGCGTTGTCGCCTTATAATATGTCGGGCAACATCGGCAGGCTTCACTCGACATGTCGCTGATACAAGTCGTAGAATATTCGTCCCCTAATGTATCCTTGGCTGAACAATACAGTTGGGTATTCATTTATAGTTTCATAGATGAATATAAACAAAGATGAACGCTTACATCTTATTCTACTATATCTTATACTATTATATAAAGCGGAAGAGTTTGTTTGTTTGTTTGAACGCGCTAATCTCCGTAACTACAAGTCTGATTTCAATAATTCTTTTTGTGTTTTGGGTAGCGCATTTATCGAGGATGGCTATAGGCTATAAAACATCACCCTACAACCAATAGGAGCCGAACAGAGCGTGTGAAACCGCTCGGAAGTAGCTAGTAATAGATAATTACTAAAACAGAACAAATATAATTAAGCACTTGTGCAGATTGTGACGCTTCCATATGGGTATAAAAACATCTGCGATAGTGCGACACGATTAGAAATAAAACAAATTAAGAACCTATGGTAATTCTATACAAATGAACTATTTAACAGTGTATTTGTACGTATTAAAGTCATTGTACTCTAATATATAGAATGACAATGTTTGTCCACACAAGTGATGTTCATTTTGATCCCTAGACAGCCTAGGCAAAATAGAATTAACAGTTCTAATTTTAGGAATTCGCATTGGTATTGGTAACATGAAATCCGCAATGCGATAAATTTGATATGATCTTTTAGAGCTATTACGCACTGTTGACTAGTCGCCGGCGACTCACTGTAATTTACTAGTTTCAATAGGTAGGTATTCAAGCACTTGGTCGTCGCTGGTCGCTCACCTATATCTCGGTCGTTAAGCGACTGAGTCGTTGGCGATTAGTCGACAATTCATAATGGCTCTTAATCTAATAAAGAGTTGTCGAAAAGTGCGATTTCTACTTAACTTTACAATAATAACACACAGCTTTCTGTGTGTGTGTGTGTGTGTGTGTGTTATTATAATATTTTTTATTATAGGTCAAACACCAAGCGGTCACCGGTGACCGCAACCTATTGTTCTATAATTGTGTCTACAAAACCGGTACTCGACGAGTTAAACGTGCTAAATGAAAATCAGTTGCGTACTGAATTTGCACAAAGCTTTCTCTAAAGCAGCTGATCCTACTCGCTTTTGTTATTACTCCCCTTGCAAAAAAAATTTATGAAGGGGTTCATTGACCCCTTTTCAATATGGCCGCATAACGTATAACTGCTTAAAATATAAATTGAATAATTATGGAGTTTTTAAGCTTCCATCATATTCATGCATTCGGTACCTAATAAAAGTGCAGAAAAAATTAAAATAATGATGTTTCTAAATTACTATAAAACCACTATTTATTTTTACTCACCGCGTAGACACGCAAACATGACTAATTCTCATTTAAATGAGCCGAATATAATGGAAGGTCAATGACCTATTACGTATTCGAGACGTATTTTTTTATACTCGTAGGTGTGTTTTGTGTGTTGACATAATATTAACCTTACATTGTCAGGTTATGTTATTCGAGGCTTACAACTCTTTCTTCAAATAAACGTGTATTCTAAGCCAAATTAGCATTTTGTAGTCAATATCAATGTGTTATACACTGGACCTGGACCATCCCCATGCTGTTATTAAACGACTTTTTTTGAAGGGGTCAACAAATGACTTCTCCTGCTCTTTGTGAGGCGGGAGTGAGTGTCAGATTCTTACTAACTTTTGCTTCGAGCTGGAGCCCCGGTAGCCCGATAGATTGTCTACCGCCTGTTATTAACGATGTGTTTTCTCCCGCAGGTGATGACAGCCAAGGATGTCACCTGCACCAGGGTCTACAAGGTCCAATAATCTGCTTCTTAAGACTGCGGGGCGGAGCCCTACCTGTGTCTATACTGCACAACTACTATAACTCTATAAATTATGTCGTTAGGCTACTAGTATCTACGTTCGTTCGAATTTGTTCCTTAACAACTTGAAATAAACGTTATTTTTGTACTATCAGTGTATTTTGCCAAAGTTTTTTCTTACGCGGTGGCGTAATTCTTCATTATTTCAACTGTTGTATAAGTTTTTCAGTGCATATTTAAATAAAAAACAGTTTTTGTAATGTTTGCTTTTTATTTTTAAACCTGATACATTTGGAGACACCACATGCCGCTATTGTGAACCTCTCTACGTTTTGTTTTTGTAACATACCTTGAAGTAATTTGGAATTAGTAGGTAGACAAAAAAGGAGGAACTTTATTAAATAAAAATTATGCCAAGCCGCTAATATTTATGACGTACGCAATTACGCATCGCATACACCCACGTATGTCAAAGAGTATAATAAGTATAAATGCTGTTTAAATAACAGTAGAAGTTACTAATTAGTAATTATCTTTCTAAGATTATTCAGACACCACTGACAAACAGTGAAGGAAAATATCGTGAGGAAACCTGGGCTTATAATGACTAATTATAAGTTTGTAATCGCCAACCCGCATTGAGCAAGCGTGGTGATTAATGCTCAAACCGTCTCCGTGTGAGAAGAGGCTTTGCTCAGCAGTGGGCATTTATAGGGTGTTGATGATGAGAGATGATCTTTTCACTGCCAAAGTCAAAATCATTTATTTCAATATTTCAATTAGCCCAGTAAGAAATTTTAGAACTTCAACAAAAAAATTTAAAAGTGAAACTATTTGCTCATTCCAAGGTGTAGATTCCTATGGAGAAGAACGAGCAACGAACTCCATAGGTTACTCTTTTTCAATCAGGTTTACAATACAATTCTCTAGTTAGGTACCTACATAGTTTTATTGGTTCGACTGTGTGAGAACAATGTAACACCAAAATCCAGTCAAAGAGATCGAAAAAGAAATTAACCTTAAGGACAATAAATAATGCAGTCTGGAGCTGACCAGTCCCAGTTGACAGCGCCCGTTCACGAACATGACACGTACACCAGCACCGCCCAACTCAACCATATTGTAGGGAATCGACCGATCCACTGCACGCGCCACCGCCAATGAAATCTTTGAGTGAGCATGACAACACCAAGCTGACACAAAAGCATTCTACTAGTCCAATTTAATATTAAGTTAATTACAGGGCTCTCACATTTACCAACATAATAATATGTCGCGCGGCGTCGAAAAAATTATCCTCATAGCAGTCGTAAGGAAGGGTGCCCAAAAGACTGGTAGCATTCAGTATTGCCGCGTTGAATGGCAATGCTTAACCTTTGTCCAAGGTAGTAGCCAGCCCTTCAAACACCTGAAGTGTCAACCATCCTCTTTACAATATCTTTATAAAGAACACACTTGGACCTAGAGTTTGGGGTTGGAAGCATAATATTGCACATTAATATTAATCACTATCATACTTTTGCCGCTTGAGGTTCTCGGCAGCACCGGCTCGACACGCTGAGCTTGGAAGATGGGATGGCGCCAGAGTATCAACGCAAGTGGCGTCCCATCTTCCAAGGGTATATTGACATACCGTCAGGTCTCTACTCTCTAGCCATGGTCGCGTACTTACCAAGCCATTAGGTTCTAAAGTAACTGGCACGCTGAGACAAGAGCTCGACGAATTATGTCATTAATGCTTGCGTGTCGAGCAAAACGGCCCGCAATACGGATACACAATAAGATATTGTGTCCAAGGCTTTTTCACAAAAATAACAAGGATGAGGTGAGCAAAATGGAGCTCCAATTCTTAAATAGATTGAAGCGTGGAAAGTGGTGTCGTCCAACAAGGTACTTAGGTTGGACGAAGGCAAAGCAAGAAGCCATATTTCCAACTCGAACTCACCCACAGCCAAAAGGCGAACTCACTCTGAAGAACAAGAAGAGTTCAACAGATATTCGCTTAAACTTCTGCAAAGCGGGTCGTCTCATTGTCTCTGGGAGAATGGTTTGACGGAATATTATAATAATCAGCAGCTGTAGACAAATGCGATTTAGCGCTTGTCTACGCAGAGAGTAGAAATCAAAATGTGTGGGGATAAAAAAAATTAGCTACAGCTGCTGGTAGGCTGATATATTTTAATAAAACGTTCAAAGCTTTGGAAAACGGTGTATAACGCCATCTAGCGATGAGTGGCGGAATCAAGTAACAAGATAAGGTAGTGACATCTAGCTTCAATATTGAAAACTATTAAGCCGACAGATTCTGACATTCTTATTGCTATTCATCACTAGATGGCACTACTCTAAGATAAAAACTTATTCAAATTTTTTTTTTACGAAAATAATACTGAACCTGGAGTTATCTAGGTATTTAATTTAATTAATTTATCGCCTAATTTATTTTTGCTCAAGAATGTACTTAAGAACGCAATTGTAAAAAAAATAAACTATGAATGAAAACACGATAAATGATCTATTATGATGATGATGATGATAACTTATTATGATCAAATTTAGATTTTTTTAAATTTTATTTGAATAATCGACGCAAATCGACGACCCTGCAGTTTCAATGTTATGCCCACATTTTTCTCACTTTGACAACAGTACTTCAATCACTATTCTTGTATGACAGGTTTTATACCACAAAATTGTGTAGTCTTTATTGTTGAATACTACTCCATAAACTTTTGAACTTTTCAATTTAGTCGGGTTGTAGACGTTTTGCGGGCGTTGCTCGACGCGTCCCGCTGCGTGTAGATCGTGTTTAGTTTATCCGTACCGTGATAAAAGTGGATACGTTCGCATTTTGCGGTGTACGGAACGCGATTTTAACAATTATCGATAATTATACGACATCTGTCAAAGTAAACTATTCCGGAATTCTGTGTAAACGATGAATTTCGTGTAATATTTATATTCTAAATTGTGAAAGTTACAATGCCGGTGTGATAAAGTGTCCTTTTTTCGTGTTTTGTTAAATGTATGTGGATATAATGCCTGGAATTTGTGATGTGTATTGTGTGTAACTAAGGTTTAGTGTGTGAGGATTACACAGTTGCTTATTCGGATTAAAATTACGCACAAGTAAGTAAATATTTACATTATCTGCTTACGAAATATTACACTCAGTGAAGTTTATTGTCTAACTGTACTACAGCAGTGGTACTTGTCAAATAATTTTAATTTACCGATCATACAGGTAGGCTGTATAGCGTCTTACGTTAGGCTCCATAAATATTTGGAAGTAATGTAGGGTATTTTAAGTTCTTTTTTTTAAATAATTAGTCTATTATATCTGTGTTGTTTATAATCTATTGGCAGTTTCTGCTCGATACAAATTAAAAAAAAAAGTTTAAAAGCATACAGCCAAATAACTATCATGCATTTATTACTGTGATCAAAGTTTGAGAAATCTAAAATTTTATGAGTAAATGAAATGAAACAACACAAAAGTATAATTATTTTAGTAAGTGATTGTGCCCTTATAATTTCCTAATTCAAAGTCTTTCTAAATAATTTTTAAAATGTAAAATATTAAACATGTCCAGAAAGTTAACTGTCTAATAAGAATTAGACCATAAACATTTTTTTATACAGAATTATCAAGCAATGCTCATAAATACACAATCCTGTTACTATCTGTATTACTTACTATCTAAAACAAATTAATTATTGCACATTGGCATCTCAAGGTTAATGCAAAATAAATAATTACAGAGATAGTGATCTAGATTAATTATTTGTTATTATGGGAGCAGATAAAATAATTTTATTACTCAATTACTTTTTAAATGGAAGCAGTAACATTTTCAGTTTAAATTACCTATAAACATTTATTCCAATTAAAAGAACTAAACAAAATTGTGTGTTGAAGAAGTCTTGTGTCTTGAACCTAAACCTTTGACTACATAAAAAGAAGGATTTTTTAAATAAGATTTTATACCATACCTTTTTCATTGAAGACTGTTTAAGTAACCTTTCTTAGAATAGGCAATTTCACACCACAATAATACTGATAAAATATTTATTTATTTTTAAATTTATGCACAACACACAGTACACAGGAGAACACATACAAATAACTTATGGTCCAGTACTGAATATTCCCATAGGAATCTCTTCCTGCAGTCCTTCCACTTAGGAAAAACAGTCAAAAGTAACTAAAATAGTCTATTTCTCAGTACTAAGAAATTACAAATTAATTTTTGATGGCTTTAGTAAAGTGTAACATACAATTTTGGCCCTAACTCAAAACTAAGTAGGTAGAAGTCTGTGAACAGACTTTGAACCATTCGAGTATAAGAGCACTTAAAATCTGTTATCAAAATCAATTCTCTAGTACACATAATTAGGAGCCTACCTAGTAAATATAAAATCTTATAAGAAAGTAAATATATCAACACACCTTTAACCTCGAAGGGATATGCCAAAGTGCACATTATGGCATCTAATGTCACTGTACAATGTAACACCCACTTTCCACTATTTTATGTTATGAGTCCCATGGGGGTGAGCCTACTGAGATTTTTTTTTTTAAAACCCAGTAATACATTAATAATAATATTCTCATGGAATACATGCCATACTATCCTTATAATGTATGTGTATATGTTTGATAATTTTAATTGTAAACAAGGAAATCTGTGTAAATATAAATCCTGTTAATAACTTAACGGTTCATTGTTGTCATGTTATTATTAATTTATAGGTGTAGTAAGATAAGAAAAGAATAATATTACAAATTGAATCCAATCAAAGAATTTTCCACTGTTCTTTGAAAATTTTTTCTGCTATCTTGAATTCTTGAGTACTTACCTACTCATGCTGTTTCTGAAGAGATGAACATCACAAGTTCAGTGGTGTGATGCTGAAGAGGACCTTTTTCTTCAGTGGATTAAAACAGAAGCTTTTGAGGCATCCAATCAGTCTCATAATGCCACAAAATAATTTCTTACAGTGCAAATTTATAATAACCATTTCCTTCTGGTAGTATTAAATTAGTTAGTATGTAGTTAAATATTGGTAACAAGCTGTTCGCTTTCTGCTCGGCTGTTATTGATCGTAGCTTGATGTTAGCCTATATATAACCTTCCTCCATAAATGTACTATGCACTAGCCAACACAAAAAGAATTATTTGAATCTGACAAATCGCTTTGGAGATTGAGTTTGGCATTTTTTGTATTAACCTTTCGTGTGTCTAACACGGGGATCCAT